TCTCTGTCGGTGTTACCGTAGTCTTCTGTCTCGCTTTTCAAGTCGGGCATTCACGATGTTCATGCTCCAACTTGAGGGGGAGAATAGGAGGTCAACATACGTCGGTCGACTATTCAAGTTCAAGAGACGCAGTCAACCGTCTCCATCATCAGGTTGTTCAAAGAGAGTCAGTCGTCTCCAATCAACCTCGTCCGGGATGTTATTCATCTCGATTTTTGTGGTTCAAGCCATCATGCTTGTTCTTCACATTTACTTCTTCAAGCTCGACATTCGCGTCATTCATATCTCACACTTGTCTAGAATCACAAGTTTATGAACCAATATCATTACATCTAGGAATGGCAATTGGCCGGATTGGGTTATGTTTTGCCAAACTCAAACCCATGGATATATCCACCAATAAAATCCGGGGTAAAATCCATTGGGTTTGAAAAACTCAAACCCAACCCATCTCGCTGGATATGTGCGGGTTTATGGATACCCATGGGTTCTGCGGTAAAAAAAAAGTATAATAACAAGTTCATGTCAAAATAAAAGTTTACGTCATTTTCCCCACACAAATTATCTAAACAAAAAATACTAATCTAGAGCATACAAGCAAATCACAAAATATCTATACAAATTGTTCAACATTAAATATAAACATCCATAAACAACATTATTAATTGAAAACTATATCCTCCTTGTCAACTAAACTTTTTCACTCTCCACTTCATAATATTAACTTCATTCTACAAAATTAGTAAGAAAAAATTAGACATGTCTCCACAAAAATAAGGAAGATTAGTTGTTTAAGGAAGATATATACTGCTTAGCATATTAAATATACGGGTAACACATGAAGTAGAATCTGGATCTTGGTCATCATTAATGGTGGCATCGAGGTCGAGTGGCTATAGGGTTGGAGCAGTTTCTTTTCTTTTTGGAATTATGGTTAGGAATTAGTATGGGGGATGGCCAAATGGGAAGTGGGAAGGGATTCGTGATTGGGGATGGGTACGGGTTGGATATAGCTAAACCTGAATCCAACCCAACCCGCAAAACAAAACGGGTTTAAACCAGAACCTGACCCATAATCCGTCAATGCGAGTTTTATCCGCGTTAATCGGGTTGGGATGGGTAGGGTACCCGTGGGTTCGGATTATGTTGTCATTTCTAATCGCATCTACCTCTTATTTCTAAACTTTCAGCAACAACACATGGTAAAACATAAAAACATAGTGTGGAGAAATGAGTAAGGAAGAAGAAGCTGGAAAATCGCGAAGCAAGTTGAGAGCGAATAAGCGCAAAAAAGAAAGAAGAAGGACTCTAAAGATGGTCGCCTCTAACTATATTCTAGCCTATCTATAGAGAAATCAAGACTGTCCTCCCTAGTAGCATTCAAAAGGTAAAAAAAAAAAGATATTATTACATCATTTTGAGGCGCAACTCAACGCTAACTAGCTGCCATTGAGGCTCCAAAGTGATCGTGCCGCCTTATCCACTGCTTTTTGTCAATGCGGGACTTTTCCTTCTAATTTGTGCCTAAACAAGGTTAGACGAATATCTATACTTGCTTTTTAGAACCATGATATTTATATTAGCTCAAACCAAATTTGTCCTATACCAGTATTTTGGAGATACGAGGAGCTTGGGCATTGGCGGGCCGGAATGATCACCCACTCCTCCATTACAACAACTCCAATTTAACTAAAACGATTTCCACCATAATAGTCTTCCCAACCTCACCCTAATTTCTGCTTACCAGCAACTCCTGCATTTGACAACAAAGAGAAGAAAAAAAACTCCAAGAAAAAAATAAACAAATAAAGGAAAGCAATAAAGAGCGCTCCTTAATATATGTATTAAATAGAAGTGATTAGTGCCTATTGATATTGTTGAATTATTTTTTATTGTATCCCTAGTCGATAGATTACATTGTTAATCTGCGACTGATAACTTATAAGAGTAGTGGCGGAGTGAGGAGATCGAAACATATGAAACCTTTTATAAGGTATCAATATTATAAATTCATAGTCTAGCTAATTAGTTTGAAGCTCATTAGTTTAATTCCATTGCTATACCAAAAATGTACTTGAAGTTAAGAACTCAGTAACTCACTCTTCGGCACACATTTTCACTGTAAAAAGAAAAGAAAAAAAAACCGAAACAAGAAATCAAGGACGGCTGCCAGCGCGATCTGGATTTGGGTCTTCCAAAGGCCACCGCCCGGCCCACGAAAGCCGAAACCCCCGCCCTCACTTTGACTCAAACCCTACACCTGCTTCCCCACCTCCGCCGCTCTTCCGACTCTCCATGGCGACGGACGGCGCCTTCCAAGTGGCGATCATCGCACTCACCGTCGCCGTCTTCGTCGCAATCCAGTACCTCTCCAAGCTATTCCTCTCGAGGCAGCGAGCCAACAACCGCACCGCCCTCCAATCCAACCGCCACTTCATCCAAGGCTCCCAATTCCTCGCCCGAGCCAGATCCGCCGCGGCCAAGAACTCCTCCCAGTCCCAATCCCTAGCCAAACAGGCCCTCGCCGAGGCCGAATCCGCCGCCGCCCTCTCACCCAAGGACCCGGCCCCGCTCGTCCTCAAATCCGTCGCCCTCGATCTCCTCGGCCACAAAGCCGCCGCATTGAAGGCAATCGATTCCGCGCTCTCTCCGCCGCGCGGGAAGGCGCTGCAGGGGAAGGAGCGAGGCGACGCGCTGGTGAAGAGAGCGGAGCTCAAGGTCGCCGTGAATCGGCGACGGCGGGTCGACTCGGCGATCGAGGACCTGACGGAGGCCGTGCAGCTGGGCGCGGGTGGGGAGAAAGGGTATTGCTTGTTGGGCCAGTGTTATGAGTGGAAAGGATCCAAGGAGGATGCTAAATGGGCTTACTCGGAGGCCTTGAAGTTTGAGCCCAATTCTAAGCTTGCCCTCGACGCACTTGGCGGATTGAGCTCGTAACATTTGCACCTATTTCTTTTCTGAATCGCTAAACGTCGCCCTTAAAATTGCTATTGATCGCCCTAAATTAAAAATTAAATTACCTATGTACCCCTAACTTAAATTTTAAAATTCAAACAAACAAACAACTCCTAAATAAACCCTACCTGTATCCCTACCTCTTCCCACTTCCATCCCACCGCCGACCCACTTCCATCCCGCCGCCAACAGCCCAACACCCACCTCCACCGGCACCCTCCTTCCGTCGTCGGCCTCCCACGTCGCCGAAGAAGACGACCGGCATAAGCAAAATCCGCTGCCAGTCACCTGTCCACGGCGCCCCCAGTCGACGAGTCGGCCAACCGCCAAAAGACCATCGTCGTCCACGCACGTCGCCGGCCATCCGATCTCCTTTCCCGTCGTCCGTCGTCCGTCGTCGTCACCGGCTATGTGCTCTCCCACCCGCGCGCCCAGTTGTCGCCAGAGAACCTTGACCGCCGTCGAAGTCTGTTGATCCATCGGATAACCGCGATCAACGCGCGGTTGGTCCATCGGCCGACCGCAGTCCTCGCGCGGTTGCACCATCGGTTGGACGCGGTCAACTTGCGGTCGGCCTATGGACCAACCGCATGTTGGTCGCGGTTGGCCGACGGTTGTTTTTTTTTTTTTTTTTGCATTTTTAATTAATTATTTAAATATATAATAAATTATAATTTAATTAATTATTTATAAATATAATAATAAGTTGATTCTTCGTTCCTCTTATTGCCTACTGGATAGTTTTTTTTTCCTAGTCTAAGTGGTGTTTGTTTTCTAAAGGAAAATAAAGAAGCTAAAGGGTTAAAAGTGTAACTTTCATATTTTTTAGGGCGATCTTTAGCAATTTTAAGGGCGACCTTTAGCAACTCCCTTTCTTTTCTCTTCCATGTTGTAACAAATATTTCTACTTCATTGCATTGCTAGATTTTGCATGAAGTTTGTTTGAGACTTGAACTAAGCAAACTTTGTGAACACCTTCACATTCCAATGTAATGATCGAAGACACCATTCCCCCACAAACTCGACTTTGACACACTTTGAGGCATCCGCCGAGCAATTTATCAATTAGAGCTTCCGTCCTCGACATTAGGTGGTTGAATCTTTCGCCCATATTGGGCTGTACAGCAGCAGATGGTGGTGCAGATATCATCATTCTCATCGGGTCCACGTTCTCTCCATCTGACTCAATGGTGAACTAATTAAAACCGGATTGAGCTCGTAAAATTTGCAACTACATTTGTTTCTCTTCCATGTTTGTATAAAAAAATTCCTGCCTCATTGCATTGCTAGATTTTGCATGAACTTTGTTGGGAGACTTGACTGGAACTAAAGCAAACATTGTGAACACCTTCATATTCAATCTGTCTGATGTAACAATGGAGATCTCAAATTCCTGCTGGAATCGACTTTCACACACGTTCTGGCATCCAAGCAACTCATCGATTCGAGCACCTCTCGATATTAGATTGTACAGCAAATCATGCTGCAAATATCGTCATCGTTCATGGTCTCTCCCGACTCTATGGTGAACCGGTTAAAATAGAACGGAACTACGAAAGTGAATACCAATCAGGCAATCGCCATAACCGCTAGCTTCAAACATGTTGACCCACTTGGTGCATCGTTGGCAGATGTATTAAATACACAATCACCAATACGTTGGGATTTCAGAATGCTTGGATTTTAATGGCACTGATATCGAAATCAATGGATTCCTACGAGAACTCAAGGTGACCAACCAACCAACCAACCCATGGAAATTGATGCAGAAGTAATAATCAATCAACCTCGTCCTCCTTTTCAATCCATTCCTTCCACCACTTACAGCAGAGGCAGCCCGTAATGAGAGGGAGAGGAACCCATCATTGTTCTCATCGACTGCAGCAAAACAATAATTCCCACCACCACCAATCCTCCATTTCCCACCTGAATACCTGATAGATACTCTGCTCTCTGCTCATTGACCAAGTCTCCACACCCAGTCTTGGAACTTGGATACACAACAGAATAATTGCAATGAACAAAATGAAAACAAAGGCCACTGAAAACCTGAAGGAATATTCAAGATACTCTGAAGAAATAAACAAAATCCGCTTAAAGTTCTGGAAAGGATGCCATTGCCCGAGAAACCCATCATTCAACTACATGATGCTACTTACAAAATTCCCACCACCACCACCACCAAGCTTGCTTACTGAACATCGCTTTCTAGACTACTGAAAACTGAAAAGGAAGAAAAACAGAAAGGAACTTAAACCTACTTTAACACCACCATTTTTCCTGCTCCTAATCCTGCATAATTCAACCGGAACCTACATACTTTTGCGGGTCAGAAAGAGTCCCACGGTCTCTGGGTCAGATTGATGAGATGAACTTCTATTCAGAGGGGAAGAACAATGCTTTTCTTAAAGCTCACTACTGTTAGCAGGTTCCCAAGTCAGCAAAACCTCTCTTTTTCTCTAACAAATTAGTAAGGCTGATGAGGCCACAGGAAGAAGTCTGTTGTCTGTGGCAACATGGAGCTCATCGAATTCTCCATGTTCGAGGCCGAACCAGAGGAGTCTCCTCCACCGGGGTTGCTGCCAACACCGGACATGTGCTGGAAGAGGTTGTGATGATGGTGGTAGTAGGCAGTTGTGGCGTCGAAGGGGATACCACAAGGGATTGTTGAAAGCGGTTGCTGAACCGAACCGAAACTGATGTTATTGCTGTTGCACTGTTGTTGTTGTTGCTGCTGCTGTTGTAGTTGCTGATCATGGCTCATCAGCGTTGGTTTCTGCTCGGCATCCAGAGAGATTTTTAGTCGCTTTGCTGCTCCACCAATCGGAAGGGCACTCTTCATGATCGCTTCCACGTCGTAGCGATTCATCTCGAAGTTTGTCACTGCATTCAAGCCCCTGAATTTTATGGCTGCTATGTCGTATGCCTCTGCTGCTTCCTCTTCAGTGGCTGCCCAATGTTTTGTTAAGGTTTAGAGGTCTGTCTCCCCAGTTTCAAGTGGCTTTCATATTGCCAGTAAATTTAACAAAGCACCAAACTAACATGCTTAAATGCTTACCAAATGTGCCGAGGTATAAGTCTTTGTTCCCAGCAACACGTCCAATCCTTGCTTGCCAACGACCTTGCTGGTGATGCCTGCCGTTACAGGGATTGGACCATAAATAATCAGAGAACGTCATCACCATATGTTATGCAACTTGAGAACGAAATCACAATCAAATACTAACCTTGTAACACCCCTGTATATGGAAGCACCCCTGGAGAATCCACTACTTTTCCTGCACAGTAAATTAGATTTTATATAAAATGTAAAATTTTGATGTTAATTGAAGTGGAAAACAAACAGAAACTGTTGAAAATCTGGCAAATTATGCATAGGTTACCTTCTCAACGAGGCAATGAACTCCTGTTTTGATACATACTTCATCTCTTCCAGTTCCTTGTTATAATTAGACACCTGCAAAGCCACAAAACAATCTGTAAACAAAGACGTAATCCAAGCGAATAGAGTGAACTATCGCTCGAGGAAGAACCAAAACCGGGGAAAAGATAGTTACAGGGAAGTTGGTCGTGGCGGTGGGGCCCCAGTACTTGAGGGCAGCCAAATCATAAGCTCTAGCTGCTTTATCTTCTTTATCATATCCACCTGAAACCCAATAATGGGGTTCTCACTTTTCAGTACACAATAGTAAAAAAAACGAAATGAAAAAATTCCAGGTAGTAGATAACCAAGAAAGTTGGATATCAAGGAAACCAACTGGGGAGGAGGGGGGGTTGCAGAGTTCAGTCAGCTTTACCTAAGTACACTGCAGGAGAGAGGCAGGCAACCCAAAATGTGAAACAGGTACAGGCCATCCAGAATTTCCCCATACCAGCAAGAAAACAACCATTTCAATGTAAGAATCCCATATACAAGGTCAAAAAAAGATCCCGAAGAAAATAACATCCAATAATGTCACTCCAAAGGAATAATAGATACACCATGTGAGTCACTCACATCGGCCAGGCCATATTGCAATAATCTATCTTTTTTGTTATGAGGAATCTCAATCAGTAGATACACAGTTTGCACAGTAAAGACTAAAGAGAGAGCATGCATTCACGATATTGTTTAATAAAAAGGTGGCATTTCCTTATGTGTGAAAGGATCAGCATTTTATGGGGCGGGCCGCAGTTACTAGGATGGCAAACCATTGTCAGCAAGTTACGGCAATAATGTTGGAGGAAGGGAGAAAGGAAGGGTTGTGTCACAATGTCACATTACATTACTCTCTCTGCACAGACATTTTTCAAAAGAAAACAGCAAAGAGAAAAAGCAGGGGGGAAAAGGAAGAATAGAAGGGGGGGAACTCTGGGAAATGGAAACAGTAGTACGTGGTTTGGTCAAACCTAAACAACCCTTTTGGCTGAAAGGGAAAAGAGAGGGGAAACAAAAAAGCAGAACTGGAAAACGCCAAAGAAACAGAAAAAAGAAGTTTCTTTCATTAATAACCCCTATAGTGATATCAACGACAACAATTGACGTGACTATAATTTTGAGGTGGTCCGTTCAAATTCCATGTAAATCGTTCAAATTCTATGGATATCTCAGAATTTCCCACGTAATTACAAGGGTAGTGCAAATCATTAGTCAGACTTTTAGGTCACGAAAATGTGTCTACATGGGCTTTCGACTGCATTCTGTGCAACAATGTAATCAAAATCAAATTTTAAAGCCTAAGCTTTTAAGTTTTAACCTTCCAGGTCACCAAAATGGTTGTTTTACTAGAATCGAACTTTTGACAACATTGTTTATCTTTGAACATAGAAACAAAAAAGGATGTGGGTAATGAATAGAAACCGTGTGCAGAGAGCAGAGGGAGAAAGCATGGTGAGGGTGTGGGAGACTGTAGAGGGAGGGGGGGGGACCCAGGTGGTGATGTTATCAGAGTTGTGTGGAAAAAAGGAAGGAAATTTGTAACAAAATGGCGGCCCATCTTATCAAATCAATCAAACCAAGGGACTGAAAGAAATGAATGCCAGCATCAGTAATATGAAGAAGAAGAATCCAACTATCCAAGTAAAGAAAATCCCCTCCCACGAAAAGAAAAAAAGAGTACCAATTTGTACAACAAAGAAAGAAAAATGTATATACTTGTCTCCATCAAACTGGTACGCATCAATCATCACAAAAGGCCTCAAGCCCTCTCTCTCTCTCTCTCTCTATGCAAGGTTCCAAAGCTCGCTCAAAAGGAAGAAAAGAAAACTCAATGGCGGAAGAAATCAGAAACGTTCATTTCAGTCTGCAGAAATCCAATTTAATGCCCAGAGCCAAAGCAGCGCATGCAACAATCTGTTGTATCTCTCCCGTCTCACCAACAAATATATATATTACCCAGATGAAATCAAAGGTACCCGTCTCGTCCCTCGGAAATCAGGAATGCAGACCAAGACGAGATAGATAGAGATAGAGAGAGAGAGGGAGAGGGAGGATCAGAGTTAGAGAGAGAAAGACCTTGACGTCCTTTTCTGGCTTGACCTTCTCTCCTACAGCTGTTATCCCATAGATGCGCTTCATATCTACCTGTCCATCTATGCCTGCACCACCACCATTGCCAAACAAAAACAAAAAAACCAAGAGAAAAAAAGAAGTTAATTAACTAGTTCATCCATTGAACACGAGAAATGCGCCTTAATTAGACTGATTAATTAACTAATTAATCACTCCTGTCACACATCAAGCAACAGTACAATCAAGCTCTACTGCTTCTTCTAGAGTACTCTTTTGCATGAACAGATTCAAATTTCAGATACGGAATGCGGGGGGAAGAAGATGGAGACGGCAGGCGACAGACTAACCTCGTGACGCCTCGGTAAATGGAAGTCCGCTGGCCGAAAGTATCGGCGAGCTTCTTCGAGCAATCGGATTCGACCACGGCGAGCACCGCCACGGATTTATCGGCGGGAGGCGGAGAAGAGTTGATCGGAATATTATGATTATGATTATTGCTGCTATTATTCGTAACCCCAAGGGATAACCCGTTGCTGCTGCGAGTCGAGAACCCCAACTCGTTGCCCGCCGCCGACTCAATCGAGTGACCACCGCCCGCCGCCATGAACTCGGCCCCACCGCCACCGCCTCCAATCTGGTCGTCCACCTCGGATCCGCCCGAGTTGGAGGAGAAGGCGCCCTGGTAGCCGGCGGCAATCGCTTTCAGATCTTGGTGCTCGTTGAAGTACGAGGCGGCGCCGCCTCCGCCGCCGTTGTCGTAGATGTGAGTCAAGGAGGACGAGTCCTGAGTTTCCGTCTGGCTGTGTTCCGAGTAGCGAACCATGGACCCGGACGAGTCGCCGCCCAGGAAGTCCTCCAGCTTCGGCGGCGGAGGTTGGTGGTGGTGGTGATGTTGGGCGCCGCCTGATTGCTGCTCCATGAAGCTCGTGAGAAGAGCAGTTTCCGCCATGGTTGTAGCTGTTTGTGCTTCCTTCGTATTCCCCCAACCTTTCCCCCACAACAACAACAAAAAAAAAATTCAAAAAACGATAATCAATCCCTAGAACCAAACAGAAGTTAGTGCAAGGGAAAAATGAAAACATACCGTGAGAGTAGTAGTTGTCGAGGAAGTAGTGAGGGGAAGGATTGGAGGAAGCGACGGCGGCGGCGGCTTCGTAGGTGAGGTACTGAGAATCGGCGGTGGAGGAGGAAGAGGATGACCTCAGCATCTCCATGGGAGAGAGAGAGAATGAGAGCCAGTTGCTTGCCGCTGCGGGTGCTGGTGCCATTTTCTTCTTCTACCTAAGCTTCTTCTTTCTCTTTCTATTCAAACTTTATACTGCGATTGGGCAGTTTTTTCGGTAGTCCTGCTGCTAGTTTCAACTTTACTGATCAAAAAGTCCAAAGAAGCAAATCACGCCATTAGATACTGAGACACGCTCACCTTTCCTCTCTTCTTCTTCTGCTATTTTTTTTTGGGCACTAGCAAACAAACAGAGAAACAAAAGAGAAAGAAGCACACACGGAGCTTATTATTATTATTACCTCAGAATCAGTTGGGTCTAAAAGCTTCCCATCATGGATTTGGTTACCGCGACATGGAGACGACGATGATGATGACGATAGTGACGCTGGGAGAAGAATGAAGTTGAACTAGTAGTGACGGTGGCGTGGCGGGTGGCCTTGTGTTTCTTTCTCTTTTTCTTCTTTCTTCTTTTTGTAAGGAAAAGTGAGAGAGGAGAGGGGAGTGGTGGTGGTGGGGAAGTAATTAAGAGGAACAGTGGTGGTGCAATGCATGCACGCCCATTCGATCCTTTCCTTTGGACTTAAATGAAGAGCTTTATTTTGAGCAGCCGAAAAAGAGGGAGAGCGAGAACTTGGAAGGGAATGGTGAAAGCTTGGATGAATCTAGCAAAGCTACGGATGAACTCGGCAAAGAAGATGACGGTAGTGATTTCCTTTTTGAACCCTTTTTTGCGATTTTGGTACCTGGAGTTGCAGAGGGAAATAGAGAGAGACAAGGATGGGGGAGAAGAAGGGAAGGGGAGGAAGGGGAGGCAGGTGGAGGTATATAATGGGAGAGGAAGAGCGGTTTTCTGCACTGCCAAACCGGCTTACTCACCACCTCAAAGGTTTCCTTTCCTTTCTTCTCCCTATCTCTCTCCTCCTTTTCATCGTATGGGGGAAGAGAAAAAAAAGAAAAGAAAAGAGGGAAACCGAAGAGGTAATTTCTGCCTCTCTTGCTAAAAAAAAAACTAGATATCATACTCAAAAATTTCTCCAAATGTAAACGTTTCATGCATTGCTAGGTCGATCCGCGAATTTAGTAACATAACTCGCATTTAAGTGATTCCTGTTTATCGTTAAAATATTCCATGAATCGATGGTGCCCGAAGCAAACAACTTAGTAGTGTTTGCAGACTTGTTTATTGGTCTCTGGAGAGAACAACATATGGTTTGTCGAGTTGTTCGCGACTGACTGCAGCGAACCAATCTTTTCATTCAACCAAGAGTTCCAACATCACTAAGTACCAAGATACACCAAACAACTCTGGGAAATAAATATCAAAACACCTCTACAAAATACAACAATCTTGCAAGTCACTCATCTCTCTTAACATTGGCTCCTCCCCATGCACCACATCATCGTCCAATTATTTGGTTTATGCGTCTATCACGAAATTGATGTTCATCTGAAATAGCAGTTCGAAATGGAAGTGGAGGTGTGTTGTAGTGGATGGAGAAGGACTGTAGATATTGCTCATCAAAGTGTTGGAAGGTTGGTTGCGGGGCTTGGAACTGATGGCTTACGTTGGGGAACCCATAATAGACGGAATTAATGATCCTCCTTCCAATTGTTAGTGGAAGGACCATAGTTTGATTATCCTCCTCCGAATTACCCTATGATCGGGGGAATACGAACTCATGTGGGTCTACAAGGGCCATCGCTTCTCTTTCTTGCACAAGGATTTGTACTAGGTTAGTGAGACCTCTATTTTTCCTTGGCGGCGACTCTGAGGGTTGGGCACTAATGTTGCAAGATGAAAGACATGGTGGTGCATGTGTTCGCGAAACTTCTTGAAATAATGCTTAGGTTAGCGTTCTCTTGTGGTAGATCCACTCCACCTATGTAAGGAATATATAACTTGCGTTAGGATGAATGTTAGGAATATGAAAGGTGATTGTCCTTCAACGTGGTCGTCATCTCTCCCTTGAGAAAGTAAAAGATGTGTGACTTCTTTCTCGGCCACTGACCACTCTATCAAGATCATAAGAAGATTGTTGCCAAACTCCATCCCTACAAAGACTGGCATCCTCACCTTAGAGGCTCTCAATAAAGGGCTTGAGCTGCTCATCCACGGGGGCAAGGCGGATGTCCCCCTCTGGACGATGGAAGCATGTGGTTCCTATATGAAGCAAGAAATGAGTAGAGTCAGTTTCTAAAAAATACCACCATGTTTCAAAATACAGTAGATATATGGTCCAGTGTGTATCTTGTCATCCACCCAAATATTTTGGAATCAATGGTACGCTTGCTCATCCAACAAATGACTCTCTCTCTCCAACCATGATGAATATAGACTATAAGATCGTCCATCTCAGCCCCCATATAGAATGAAATAAACATAATTTATAACTCATGATAATAAATCAAGCACAGTGCAACCAAAAAGAATAGGATAAATGCCACATTTGATCACTGGAATTACTAAATCGTGTTATGTTTAGTCACTAGAAAAAATTAATATCAATTTTGGTCACTCGAATTACTAAAACATGTCACATTTAGTCACTCAAATTACTGAAACATGTCACATTTAATCACTCTCCGTTAGCCTCCATCCAACTCCGTTAATAGAGTTGGTCAGAAACTAACGGGAGAGTGACTAAATGTGACATGTTTCAGTAATTCGGTGACCGAAATTGATATTAATTTTTTTTAGTGACTAAACATGACATGATTTAGTAATCTCATTGACCAAATGTGTCACTTACCCAAAAAGAATACTAAGAAATCCTTGGTTGGTTGGAAATTATTTTCAAAATTCAATAATCACGAATCACGAAATCTTAAAGAGTTCACATGCACAAAAATTGATTTCCATCAATCAATCATAGTTAAACTACCAAGACATTATTGGTATTATAGCTCCCGACGCATGATTCTCTTTGATAAATCATAATATAAAACTTGCACAACAAATATACTAAATAATAAATAGTATAGTAGGGAAAAACGAGAGGATAACATGAGATCTTGCAATTGTGGCATGTTTTGATTTCATATCACGGTTGTTTCCATATCGGTAAAAATAGTGTATCCCTAATTTGTTTGTAATACAATATATCTAATTGACCAAAAAATTCACGTGTTATTTTTATCAAATATTTTATATAATTAAATTTATTAAAATGAAAAATATTTTTACAATATACATATCTACGTAATGTTATATAAAATAAATCATATACAATTAAGATAATCCAGAAATACACCAAATCCAATGTATATTGTTGTATTACTATATAATGTAAAAAATATGTAACATAAAATATTATTTTGTTGATGTAGGTATTTCCTCAATGTGCAACCTAAGATCGTAATGATAAATAACTTGACGGTGATAACACTTACAGGGTCCAAAAGTCTCATTTGAAACTCCATCACACGAAAACTCTTATAACTTGGGTTTTGTTGACATTTTTTTTCCCCAGGAAGGCTTGAATTGATATAACTTTTGGTCCAAAGATCTTGGGATTTTAACTTGCCACTCTAATAATAAAAGTATAAAACCGTGGTTTTTATCATATGATCCCAGCATCCTATTTACAACTTCAAGATGACATTATCAATTTAACCCACTAAAAAGATCAACCAGCTGCTCTGAGTCGCATGATCAACTGAGAAGCCGTAATGCTATATGCTAGAAGTTGAAATCTCACGAGCAGTATGGTTTAATATGACGGAGTGTCATTAACTCAATATCTGTGCTGTGCATGAGCAATTTGCACAAATCTTGCATGTTTAGTGAAACTATTATTTTGGTGCGACAATTATACACACCGATCATGAACGTCGACGTACAATGAACTGACTATCCACAACGATCATGAACGTCAAACGTTTTTTTCAGCGTTGATCAGAACCTAAACACCGAGACCGTAATAAGGAAAACGATTCTTGAAGCAGTAGATTGACATAATCGTCGTTTTCAGATAGTGAATGAAGGCGTCATCATTTTTGCTCATATTCTTTCTTGTATTGGGATGGTTGGCTTGTGGCGTGGCTGTGGGGGCACTGGCCCAGGACTGGAGTGGATGGCTGCTGCTGTGCTGTGCTGTGGTGGCTGAACCGCCGAAGGTGTCTGCCTCTCTCTCAGTCCAATCCATAATAAATAAAGAAAAGAAGATTGACTGATGAAACAAAACAAACAGCCCCCGCGAAACTTACGGGCTGGCATGGCACCCTAATTTTGCCCCTCCCTCCCTCCTTTTACCATACTGCCCCTTGCATATTTCTTATTTATTTATTTTTTTGTAAATTACATCCGGTCCCATTTTTGGCAGCCTTTCCCTTTTTGATAAATTCCAATCTTTACTCGTTGTTATTATTATTATTTAGTGGTATGGGGGTTTTGTCCCATTGCCTACATTTGACAACACTTGTACTTCATGCAGCCATTCGTGTCCCTATTCAATTTCCCCCCTCTTTTCCCTCTCTACCATTTTCTTTTTCCACTCTTTTGTGGGTTTCCCAGTCGTGATTGTGATTTGTGGGAAAACAAAAATATGTTAGAGTCTATTAGCAAATTCGTTTCCCGGCTGCTCTTTTTCCCCCCCTTCTCATCACGCGGTAAGTAACAAAATTTAAGTTGGTGCAATTGAGGAGTTGTTTGGTATCACATTATCATTGAATTTCACTTATTTTGTAAATGCATTAACATGGAGTGAATCAGTATCTTGCACCAAGCAGATTACTGAATCATTCATAAAAAATTTCAATTCAATTTAATCTTATATATCTCTTTCGTTATAAGTTAAATGCAATCCTGAAAAATTAGATTAATTGTACTTTTCAAAGAAACTTCTACTTTGAAATATTTTAACGAAAAAATCGAGGCATACATATATTATCAGTTTATACCATAGTGGTTATACTTGTTCGTACATAAAATTATCAATTGGACTAAGGCGGTATGAACATGGCATAGTCAAGAATAATGACACACAAGATAATAGAAATATACTAACCATTATTTACCACCTTTGACCATCGATTATCACCAAGGATTAAAATATCGTACCGTACAAGCAGTTCAACCTGAAAAACCTCATACCTGAAACAAAACCGGTAGGCAGTATTTAGCAGTATATTGCAATTGAACAATGCTTAAACCATGATTTTAGCATGAGATACCCTATTCCTGACTTTTTCGGTACGACCTCCGGTAAAGTATTTCAATCCTTGATTATCACCAATTACCACCATGTACCATGGTGGCATATTTGGTCCTGAATTTTTTCTTGAAATTTATAGATTGAAATAGATCAAGCCTTTTTGATATTTTTTTTTGAAATTAGAGTCACAAAAAAAGGCGATACGGAGTGATACTAAAGCGATAACGAGTGGTAATAGGCGGAGAAAAAAATATTTTCACAAAATATATAAAAATGGATACCATTTTGTACGTCACAATAAATCAGTTCCATATGTAAAAAAAAATCAAGTTGAAACAAAAAATATACAAGCCTATTAAAAAAATATGCAAATAAAATATTTTTAATCTCGCCACATAGATCTGACCTCGCTCATAATCAAAGGCCAAAGTCAAATATTGTTTTGTATGAAAGGGTTATGCATGCTACCCTAAGTCACATTTATTAAAGTTATGTTTAATTTTGGTGATAATTTGGTTAAAATTATTGTAATACTTATATTGCTGATAAT